GCAAGTGTCCATACCACACAATCACGAGCAGAGGGCACATTCAGCACTAGTAGAAATGCCAGAAGTTTCCTTTGTCAGTATGCATTACAAATAGAATGCTTTTTTTTTTGAGATGGAGTCTTGCTCTTTCGCCCAGGTTAGAGTATAGTGGCACGATTTAGGCTCACCGCAACCTCTGTCTCCCGGATTCAATCAGTTCTCTGCCTCAGCCTCCCAAATAGTTCTGATTACAGGCGCCCACCACCACGCCTGGCCAATTTTTAAAAAATTTTTAGTAGAGGCGGGTTTTCGCCATCTTGGTCAGGCTGGTCTTGAACTCCTGCCCTCAGGTGATCTGCCCTCCTCGGCCTCCCAAAGTGTTGGGATTAGAGGCGTGAGCCACTGCGCCCTGCCTAGAATGCTATTTTTAATAAAACAGAAGTATCCAGGAGCTACCCATGTATAAAAACTCCCCAAAGTCTTATAAAGAATGAACACAGAAACCAGTCACTGTCATTGTTCAGGACAAAGTGGAGATACATAAATGCTTCCTCATACTTTCTGGAGGGCACAGTGACGGCAAGATGAGAATGCTTGGGTTTTTAGGAGAAACAAGGTTTGTTACCCATCTCTTGCTCTCTGTCTCTCCTTCCCTGTGTCTCTGTCTGTCTCTGTGTCTGCCTGTCTCTGTCTTTGTGTCTCTGTCTCTGTTTCTCTCTGTCTCTGACTCTGTGTCTGTTTCTCTCTCGTTCTCTTTCGATGCTAGTCCTTGCTCTGCGGCCACACAGGGCAGTGCATGATTTGGTTTCCTGGGGAATTCAGAGGAAGCGGTTGCGGGTAGAGAGACCAGCAAGAACAGATGCACGGGTGTCAACACGCAGGCCAGGTGGAGGGACAGCTGTGGGGCTCAGTGTGGCCAGAGCCTGGGGAGGGACATGGACAAGTACCCCACAGATAAGAGGGGTTGGAGAGTTTAATCTGGACCAGTATGAATTACAGAGAGTCTCTGGCACTTTGGGTACAAGAAACAGACTCACTCAGGTTACTGTAACAGAGAGGGAGGGGTGCTGGGTGGGCAGAGGCAGGGCTGGGGTGGAGGCCACCTGGAGGCCCCCATGGCCTTCTGGACAATCTGTGGCCACGTCTCCACGGCTGTAAGGGATGAGGAGGGGCAGCGCCATGTGGACAGCCTCCTGGGCAGCAGGATAGTGGTGGCCTCTCCTCTGTCTCAGAGCCTATGTTTCCAGCCAGATTGGGACCCCCAACTCCATCAGTGCTGCCTTCTCCACCCAGCCACAGTATCTGGTTATCCTCGTTCACAGATTCTAGGCATGAAACCCTGATTCTCCTGTTGTAAGAACTAAAAAAGTCTTTGGAGCTCCTTAAAGATAAAACCATACAAGTGAAACTGCGGTATCAGTTACTAACTAGATGGGAACAAGCTGCTCCAACTCAGGTGAGCTCACGGCCCATCGCTCCTTCTCTGGTTCCAGGCTCTGGACAGAGACGGGAAGGCATGGAAGGAAAATAAGCTGGGCAAGAGGGAGGGTCTACAACGAGAAGTACTGACTCAGAAGGCGGGGAAGACACCAGCTATGGCCAAGGATCGCCAGACAAGGTCCCGGCGCCATCTCCGCCCTGCCCGAGCTGCGGACTCCAGGCCGTCTCAAGTTCCCAAAGTAAAGGCGAAGAACGAGAAGACTCTCAGGGGCACAGCTGTGGGTGCGGTTAGCACCAAAACGACCTGTTTCCAGATGAGACTTAGAAAATGTCTGTTTACTTTCACTTTGAATGAATTAAGTCTTCACAAAAGTCAGAGACGGATTTAACACAAAATTACTGCTGAGTTAGGGGGGCTAGGAAAGGCCCCCTCAAGTTGGTGTTGCAAGCGTCAGTGCTGACCCAAAGGAAAGGCCTGACGCCTGGCCAGGTCACAGGAGCAGCACGCTAGGACAGAATTAAGCAGACACACAACATCCCTCCACAGCCGCCAGAGCCCAAAGTCCTAAGAGCCCACAGAAGGGCCAATACAAGGTGGCTCAACACCGGGCGGCCACCCTGTAAAGCAGCCTGTTGACCTTCCCCCACTCCAGGACAGAGGGTTGGGGAAGGAAGGGAATCCAGCTTCCTCTCAGATAAGGCCTCTCAACCTTCTCTCTCATCTGCAGGTTTTGTCCTGGTCATCGGGCTGGTGACTTTCTACAGAATTGGCCCATACACCAACCTGTCCTGGTCCTGCTACATGAACATTGGTGCCTGCCTTCTGGCTACGCTGGCGGCGGCCATGCTCATCTGGAACATTCTCCACAAGAGGGAGGACTGCATGGCACCCCGGGTGATTGTCATCAGCCGCTCCCTGACGGCGCGCTTTCGCCGTGGGCTGGACAATGACTACGTGGAGTCGCCATGCTGACTCGCCCTTGTCAGGACATCATGGACGTGCATCTGCTATCACGGAACAGCCTAGAAACCAACGGACTCCAGCACCAAGTCACTTCCCCTGCTTGTGCAGAGGCACAGGATGAGTCTGGGTGACCTCTGTGCCATGCGTGCAAGACGGCTGTGCGTTTACCGTTATGTCGATCACATGTCTATATGTGCCACGGGTCACCCTCGTTCTGCCTCCAGCTTCCCTGGTTAGCACCATGCGGCTCTGCAGCCACCTGCGTGTCAGGGTGGAGGCTGGAAGCTAAGACACAGGGAAGGTGGCGTGAGGCTGCCCTGCCCTCCGCTTTGCTTTGGGATTAATTTATTCTGCATCTGCTGAGAGGGGTGCCCCAGCCATGTCTTATACTTCGGTAAAGCAGAACAAGCAGGAAGGTTTTCTTGAAATAGCCACAGTATTCCTTGAGTGAGTCATAACCTATAGCCGGATAGCGATGGTTTCAGACAGAATCATCCTCCTGTTATGCTCAATCCTTTTCCTAAGTTAAATAAATGCAAGCCTCTTAATTCTGTCTATAACTGTGTTCTATCCATCTATACTGCAACATGGGTGAAAAACACTTCAATTTTTCTGTGATTTTGTTTGGGGCTCACATTAAGAGAAGAGTTGAAATGAGCTTTTCAAAGACCCTGTAGGCACACACATGCTGATCCACACCGTCTGTTCAACCGAGTCTCAGAAGCCCAAGTCCTTACAGACTCTCTGATCAACAACTCATAGAATAAAAGGGAAGAAGTCTATTTGCTTTAAAACCCTCAGCCTGTCTTTAGCCAAATGCTTGGTGGGCTATGAAATGCCTGCAGGATGCTGCATGGAGATCAAACAACCCTGTGTCCTACATCTGTTAAGAGGGGAACAAGCCGTAACTCTTTGGGTTGGGCAGAAAACAACTAACATCTGCATCTGAGGGGTCAAAACTGGCCTACACCCCCCAGAACCCAGAACCCAGAGCTGCCTGGCCACACCACAACCAGGGCTGCAACCACAGTCCTAGCGCCTGGCCTTGTGCCTCCTCTGCCTGGGTGCGGCACTGCTTGGCCCCATGGCCATCTGAAGGCAGAGCTCACTGCTGGCATCAGCTGGAAGGAGAAACTGACGGGATGTGCACAGCCAGGGCCCGGCCACCAGGCCAACCCCTGCTAATAGAAACGTTTAGCTTTGCTGCTTCTGGCCTTCCAGCAAGCTGAGGGGATCAGTTCAGATTTTGAGGACCATATTGCACCAGGAATTTTTCTTCAATTGATAAAGACTAAAAAGCATTTATGAACTGACCGTCTACGACACACTTGGCACACAGCATAGAAACAGCAGATTCATGTCCACAGTACACACTGGCACAGATAGGCTTTTACCTTCCCCCGCTTGACTTTTTTCTGACAAGGAATTTTTATTTCTAATCATATGCTGAAAATAATTGTTTTTGTTTTTGTTTTAGAAGGAGTCTCGTTCTGTCGCCCAGGCTGGAGTATGGTGGCACAATCTTGGCTCACTGCAACCTCTGCCTCCCGGGTTCAAGCGATTCTCTGGCCTCAGCCTCCTGAGTAGCTGGGATTGCAGGCGTGTGCCACCAAGCATGGCTAATTTTTTCTATTTTCAGTAGAGACAGGGTTTCTCCATGTTGGTCAGGCTGGTCTTATACTCCTGTCCTCAGATCTGTCTACCTCAGCCTCCCAAAGTGCTGGGATAGCAGGCGTGAGCCCCCGCCCCCGCCCACACTGAAGGTTTAAACTGGCCATAGGGTCAATCATGGTCTATGACTACCTATTAAGACAAAGCAATCAAGGAGAATGGGGCAGTGCCGCTTAGCCTCTCTGGTGCATGTGCAAACAGATAAGAGCTCAGCAGCACAGCTAGTGTGGAAGGCCCAGCCCAGGGAATGAAGAATTGGCCATGCCGCTTTAGAAGGACAGTGTGCCGGGGTCCTGCACCCTCTCGGACACCTCTATGACAGGCATCATCACTGCATGGAGAGGGAGGGCTTGCTCCAGGCCACCTAAGGCCACATCTTCTTTTTCCCTCTTTAGTTTCATTCTTCAATAAGTTTTCGACCCTTTGGAAATGAAAATCTATAAAATGCTCTTGTGAAGAATCTCTAGATTCTCTCAGGAATGGAGAAGCAGGTGCTTGTAGACAGCCCTTGACTGACAACCTCTTTTAAAGCAATTTTAATTGTGTTTTCACCTTGCTGTTTTTAGTGTTTACTTGTCCAAACTTCTTCGGTTTAGGGGCAATTAGTCCCAGAGGGATAGGTATTATGGATGTTTAGCAATGGTGGAACTTTCCATGAAGACGCATACAGAACTCTTTGAAATTAATCACAATAACTAAACAGCCTGAGAGGTGCCCAGCACCACCAAGGCCGAGAGCTTCCCACGCGGCACCATGCACCAGGCAGGTCCTGGCACCCACAAAGCTTGGAAGCATTTCACTGAGTGGGAACACCAGGAAATAGACCATGACACAGTCACAAGGAGTTAACTATTTCAACAAGCAGACCGAGAAGGAAGACACAGAGAAAGGAAAGAGCCTGTGAGCGCGCACCATCTCCCGACATATCAGCGGGCGGCATCCTCACCTTCTGATGAGTTTGATGGATTTGAAGGCTTCGTCCATGTCTCCAATGGTGACAAAGAAGCTGAAGTGGAGCATGGCGTCCCGTGTGGCCTTGTCACAGTCCTCCAGCCCCACAAAGTCTCGCAGGGGTCTCCTGGCGACCATCTGAGGAATGTGGTGGTACCCAGACTCCACCTTGTCTTCTATGTCCACTTCTTCAGGCTAAATGACAAATGACCCATGTGTTCATTAATTCACATGTACAGCTGAAGCCCTCACCCCGGTCTCTTCCTCTAGATTTATCTCCATTACGGGGGGGAAATCCCTCCGCAGACAGACACAGATATTTAGCAATAGGCCAAGTCCCTGCCAGATGCACTGAAAACCTTTAGGGTCACTGGAAATGGTCACAGCTTTTGGCTCTCGTTTCAGATAATGGGTAAGCAAAGGCTGTCTGTGCATGAATTTGTTTTTTAAGCTCTCTTAAAGTACAGTAACAGCGGCATGATTTCAGGTAGAATTTTCCAACACAAGAAGCTGGACTGGCTGTGTGCCCTCTGTGGGTGTTTCTCAGCCTGGACAGTACGGCCCCACGTGAAGCAGGGGAGGTGTGGCTGCAGGCCCAGCACGGGAGCACGCTGCTTTGGCGTGCCGGGCCACAGCCTTGCTCGAGCACCGCCTTCTCCCCAGCTCCTGGAAGTCGGAGCTCCCGAGGGATGGCAGCCCCTCCACAGGCCCCTCCCACTACTCTCAATCTCTTTCATCATGGGTCCCTTCCTCCAGCAGGGAGCGGCTCTCCACACTCTCTGGGCTCTAGCCCTGCCCTCAGCTGGGTCTTTCTCTCTGCAGATCCCATTTATCCGACAGCACATGCACTCCCTGTGTGAAAGGGATCATGACACAGCCCTATAGGGTCAGGCTTCCCTGGTCCTGTATCTGCTATTCTGTGACTTCCTGAAGGGTGACTCCAGCCACCTGCCTCCCCAGCTCTGCTCCCACAGAAGCTGACCTGTGGCCCCAGTGAGTAGGCCTTATGGGCACGACAGTACTTGGCCTTGGTCTCAAAGAAAACTGGGGGATTTGTCAGCCCCAGTTGTGACGGGGAGGCCCTTCCTGGCACAGTGCAGAGCATAAGCAAAGGCCCCGAGGCACCACAGAGAGGCACTGGAGGGCCTCAGGATGGACATAACAGGGCCCACCAGCAGGGTGCTGAGCGCTGCAGAGTTCGGACTACTTCTGCACTGAGTGGGAACTGTCAGAAAACACACACACACAAAAACAGGGAATTCCTGCCTGCTATGGTTTAACTGCAAGGAAGCAGCCTGACCTCTGATAACAATGTCAGCTTGGTGTGGATTAATGGGAACCCAGTTCTCCATGTAAATGGGAATTCTCAGCATTCACCATGTCCTGCTCACAGCCCTGTGAGGCAGGGGCTGTCTATCCCACATCACAGCTGACTGGTCACATGGTGTAGGGGCAGGGTCCTAAGAGCTGCCGGACTCAGATCTACCCTGAAACCTTGGAGAAACTAGGCAGAGCCATTTGAACACAGAGAAAATCTGAACAAGGGCAGTGTTTACAGACAAAAGACGTCATGGTTACTCCTCACTAGACTTGAAAGGCTGAGTTATGAAAACTCCCTCTATTGCAAATGTATGTAAACTAAGTACCTCCTACGTCCCACACAGCAGAGGAAAGAGCTGCTGTGTCACACATCCCAGCTGTGACCACAACTGGTGGGCTCCTGGTGAGCTTTGTTAGGTGAGGGGCGTCCTGCTCAGACAGAGAGCTGACGCTGAGCGTCTCAAGCTTCCAATAGACCTCAGCCAAGTGAACATACAAGCTAAGCTGAAAGGACTGAAGCACAGACAATTGTACTGAAAATAAGGGAAGGAAAGGATCTCAGGAAAACGACATGGTGAAGGAAACGACATATGACCTGGGCGTCTGTACTTACAACTGCGTCATACACGCCTGCTCTCTGGAACAACAACTATGAGGAGTGGAGCGCATGAGGGAAGGTGAGAAACGAGAGAGAAGAACAGACGCGTGAGTGTGTGCAAGACACAAACGCCACCGTGCAAAATTATGGGAAAGAACTCAACAGAAATAATGTAAAACATTGTTAACACTCTGAGTTCTGAAATCAAAGAGAAATCAGAGCATATAAGAATGTAAAGCAAGCATGAAATTCAGAGAAATGCCAGTCTGGTGACACTCATCTACTAAAATATGGGAATTAAGGAAATGCGCATTGACAGAGCAGGGACCCCTCTATTTGCCGAATCACATGATGCGTTCCCATTCTTCATGAAGCTAGACTGCCTCCACTGCAGGGAACAGCGTGATGCATAAGCCAGCACCACGCTGGCCTCTGCTGGCTGTGCAGCCTGGCTCTATGTGGTGATCAGGAACACGACCGCCAGCCACAGCAGCACGCTTGTGCTTGTGTGAATGCTGTTAATCAATCACTGCACACAAGGTTCCAGCTGAGCCCGAGGACCAGAGGCTAGCAAACACCTGGTCATGTCACTGTCGCAAGTCAGGCAGTGTGCCCCCTGCCCCACTGTGTCCTTTATGCCAGATCCTATGAAGGTGAATGCCAGCGCAGGGGTCTGCATGGAGCTGGTGCGCCTGCTAGCCACCGTGGCGGCAGCTGGCCCACTCAGGTCCTGGGTTAGCTTCTATAGCCATGCAGGGCTGCCTGTCCTTCCTTTTCTTGAATGTCCCTCTGGGGCCTATGCCCCCTCTGTCCCAGTTTAAATGCTCTTTTGATCCACCTTGGCTTATAAAAGTAATACATGCTTATTGAAGAAATTTTGAATAGTACAGAGATCATTCCTTTTTTTTTTTTTTTTTTTTTTTTTGAGATGGAATTTGGCTCGTTGCCCAGGCTGGAGTGCAATGGTGTGATCTTGACTCACTGCAACCTCCACCTACTGGGTTCAAGCAATTCTCCTGCCTCAGCCTCCTGAGTAGCTGGGATTACAGGCATGTGTCACCACACCCGGCTAATTTTGTATTTTTAGTAGAATGAGGTTTCTCTATGTTGGTCAGGCTGGTCTTGAATTCCCAACCTCAGGTGATCCGCCTGCCATAGCCTCCCAAAGTGCTGGGATCACAGATGTGAGCCACCGTGCCCGGCCCAGAGTTAATTCTTAAGGTTGATAAGCCACCATATGTGAAAATCCAAAAGCAATCCAGGTCAGAGTCTACATAGTTTAGTCCTCCCTCTGACGTGACAGTGAACAGGAAGTGGCAGGGAAGGCTCTGCATGTGTTTGCTGAAGGTGTGTACCTAATAGGAGAGACGCTTCCATGTTTCATGGAAATACAAGCAGCAGCAGCTGGTGGCATCCTAGTTCCTGAAAGGTAGAAGCTGGTGGCTCCTAGCCTCCTGCCTGCAGAACCCCTGTGGGGCTCACACTGGCCGGCACCAGCTGGGACAAGTCTGAGCCTTAGGTCAACCAGGCTCCTCTCTGAACAAGCCCCAGTGTGACTCAGGGTGCTCCCAGAGGCTGAGAACAAAAGGTGGGTTAAGCGAGGGGAGCAACTCACCCAGAGCCAGGCACTCTGCCGGGTCTCAGAATGCTCGTGGAGCACGTACAGGCTGCTGTTCTGCAGAGAAGCTACAGAGCCTTTGATCAGCACGCCCTTTCAGAAGCAGAGAACGACTTTGTTTCAGGTCCAAAAGGGACCTTGGAGATATGGAGACTAAATCGCAGAGAAGTAAATAACTTGTTCAAAATAAACTACTAGGGTGCGTGTACTGATCATGATCCCATTCTCCCAATAATTTAAAAATAAGTCCATGCATATGAGTCACACACACAAACAGGTGTCCAGAAGCCCACTGAAAGGAGCCCCCAACCTGCCCACGGTGACCGCCTCCGGGCTGGGATTATGGAGATTTGTACTGTTTGGGTCTTTATTTCATTCTTGGTAGTTCCTAAGTTCCCTACAGTGAATACAGAAATGTGTGATTTTAAGCAAGCAGCTAGAATTTTAGAAAGACAGAAAAGCTAAAAGGTGTTGAGCACTGGGGGAAAAGCCAAGGGGAAGGGTGCAGAGTCCTGAGTCCTGACAGAGAACTCCTACACCTGGCGACGCCACTCATCAGAGTGACTTCTCTCTGTCCTCAGAGCAAAATCACTTCCAGTATTCCCAGACAGACTGCAGTGTTTGCTGGAATTTTGGGTGCAAGTTAGCCCAGATGGCTGACCCTGGCTACTGAGAAGGAAGCCCTGAAGAGCCTCGAGGGCTAACTCATGTTTCAGCTCCTGTGACGCTTGGAAGAGCCCAGTCAAGCAAGGGGAGAGATCAGAAATACTTGCGCAGATTTCATGGTTTCTTACCTTTCTCGTGAAGTAGTAATAGGGCACTTCCATCCCCAGAAGATTATGGTAGGCAGAAGGCCGGGGGAAGCTCTCATGAAGCAGAAAGCCGTGCTCTTCAGAAATGAAGAAGGACAGAATCAAAACATCTGCCTGGGAGAGAGAGAACAATACTGTTCTGTTTTTTAGGCTTATATAAATATCTGGGGTCCAAGTGCATTTTGCTACGTGGATATACTGCGTCATGGTGGAGTTGGGTGCTCTGCTTTGATGATACTACCTTTTATCTGTTCCACTTTGGAAAATCAGCCATGTCTCCTGGAAGGAGGCGTCTCGTCCAGTTTGTGACCACTGGACCCTCCCGAGTGACTGATTTTCTTGCAGCAAAGGCTCATCATTCCCACCCTGAATTGGTGACTGCAACTCAAAAGAGCTTTCATGATTTCAAAGTTCTCCCCATTCAGCTTCTCCACTTTGATTTAAGATTCAACAGTGGCAGGCCGGGAGCGATGACTCACGCCTGTAATCCCAGCACATTGGGAGGCTAAGGCGGGCGGATCATGAGGTCAGGAGTTTGAGACCAGCTTGGCCAGCATGGGGAAACCCCATCTCTACTAAAAATACAAAAATTAGCTGGGCGTGGTGGCCTGCGCCTATAATCCCAGCTACTCGGGAGGCTGAGGCAGGAGAATCGCTTGAACCCAGGAGATGGAGGTTGCAGTGAGCTGAGACTGCACTCCAGCCTGGGCAACAACAGCGAGACTTCATCTCAAAAAAAAAAAAAAATCAACAGGGGCACCACCAACAAAGAGCCCCAACCCTGCTTTCAAGAAACAGGGAACATGCAATTTGGAAACCACGTGCTCCACAGGTCCTTCACACAGGAGCAAAACAAGCAACACCAGGACCTGTGCTCGCACCTGCAGCTGCATTCGACGGGAAACTGTAGGAGGTGATAGGAAGGTAAAAAGCCCGTCCTTGCTACCTGGTGTGAATTCAGACAAGGCTGCAACATCACACAACAGACAAAAAGAGCCCTGTGATCAAACTGCCAGGAGACCGCCCTGCCACGCCTTCGTCTTCCCTGGGTATGAGCCTACCTGTTCTCCTGGCTGCCTGGGTTATCCCCACAACCTCTATCTTGAAGTGACGCCTCTGGCCATGTCTTCCTCTCCCCACTGTGGTGGTAGAGATGCCACCTGGACATATCCTCCCACTCAGCGTCTCAGAACCTAGGGTGGATTTCCTTCTGAACTCAGGGTATCAACACTGACTAGGGACAACTCTTACTGTCTTAATAAGAGAAATTTCTCTGGCACAAGGAAGACTTCAGACAAGTCCAGAAATTTAGGGCTGCCTGCTCGTAGCTGAATTACTGGGGAGGCTACACATAAATTCCTCGGTGAATAAGCAGGTTAGAGGCAAAACAGATCACTGGGTGTCCCAGGAAATGTCTGATGTCCCGCGGGACACAAGGCTTGGAAAGTGTCAGAGAGGCCCAGCCCGTTGGTGGTGGGGGAGGGAGGGGTCCAGGGTCCAGTGCCAGGGCCCTAAGAGCTTGCCAGCATTGGGGAAGGAGCCCTCTAGACGCTGTGGAGCCTGCTGGTGAGGGCAGGGGGCAGAGGTCTGTCTGCCTTGGTGTTGAATTAACGAGGGGTACAGCAGCTCTCAGGGTCAACCACAGGATGTGGTGACACCAAGGGGTTAATTCATAGTCACTGTTTCAGTAAAGACTTCTGTCCTGTGGCTGGATGTGGTGGCTCACGCCTGCATCCCAGCACTTTGGGAGGCCGAGGCGGGCAGATGGCCTGAGATCAGGAGTTTGGGACCAGCCTGATAAACGTGGGGAAACCCCATCTCTACTAAAAATACAAAAATTAGCTGGATGTTGTGGCAGTAGCTGTAATCCCAGCTACTCAGGAGGCTGAGGCAGGAGAATCGCTTGAACCAGGGAGGTGGAGGTTGCAGGGAGCCAACATTGTGCCACCACACTCCAGCCTGGGTGACAGGGCAAGATTCCATCTCAAAAGACAAAACAAATGACTCTGTCTTAAAAAACAAAACAAAACAAACAAAAGACTTCTGTCCTAGAGAGAGAATCACATGTAGCAGCTGAGATAACAAGAGAACCAAAACAAATGACATTCAGGTCAGACCAGACAGTAAGTGTGGAGCTGGCCCCCGGGCATAACCTCAAAGAGGATACACCAGACACCCTGGCTTTTCTGTATAGCTCAAGACAGGCCTAGCATTGGTAAATCCGCAGAGATGGTGTTGAGTTCACAGCGGTGCTACCATCAGTGGGAGCCGTGACGCAGATGCTCTACTTCATGTGAATGAATTTTCAGGACCCCTTTCCCTGACCCCACGCTAGGAAGACTGTTTCTACTAATTCTTCTTCTTTTTTTTTAGAGATGCGGGTCTCAACATGTTACCCAGGCTAGTATGGAATCCCTGGGCTCAAGCAATCCCTCCCGCTTTGGCCTCTCGCAGCGCTGGGATCACGGGCGTGAGCCACTGTGCCCAGCCTATGGAGATGTGAAGTCTGGCACATGGCCACTGAGTATGTCTGAACACAAGCATGACAGGCGGAGCGTACCATGGGGCTGGCATTCCCGTCGTGGGGCTGCCTGTCTGCAGACTGTGGCTGGGAGCCCGGCACCTCCTGCACGGCTTCACAGACGAACAGCCGGGGTTCGCTCTGGTCCCAGAAGTGATTCACGGGGACATAATTTTTCAGCCCCTCATCCGCAAAAAGGTAGCTCCTAAAAGACAGGGGAAGACCTGTCTCAACCCCCAAGGAGGGCACTCCTGCTATCAGCCTCCCTCCCACACACATTCCCAAGTCCTCCAGGTACTGTCCCAGGCCGCGGGGTCCATGCGCTCAGCTTGGGGAGAACCTCAGGGGCCTCATGGCCATGAGCCCTGCTGGAATATGCTCTCAGATTTTAACAACTGGGCTAAGTGTCCAAGCAAAGCCTGGTTTGAAAGGATCACAGAAATATGAGCTTTGACTCTGGAGGCCTTATGGAGGGCCCAGAAGAATCCCCAAAGCAAAAGGGACTCTTCCTTTTCTCCAGGACCAGCAGGCCAAACTCAAGGTGGGACAGCACCCCCTGTTGGAGGGGTGGTCAAGACTTTGGCTCCATGGTCATGCGGTGTGGGGGTCCTCATCCCCCCTGGGTCCCTGTGCAGTGCTGCCCCTTGTACCCAGGTACCTCCCATCTCTAAAGTTCCAAGTTTGATGGGCCCAGAACTCAACAAAATGCTGTGGGGAGACCCAGTGACGTGCTGGCAGGGGACACTCAAGGTCTCAAGAGAGAGCAGGTGCCCGAGGTGAGAAGGCCTGTGAGCCTCATCCATCGCCCCCAGCATGTCACGAACCCAGGCTGCAGAATGGGACCCTGCCGGGCAGCACGACCCGTGGCGGCTGCACAGAAAGACAGGACCTGGTGCTGCAGCACGTGAAGACCCCCCAGGAAGCTGCCACACCCAACACTGGAGGTGCCCCCACAGCCACGTCCGGTGCCAGCACAGAGCAGAAAGCAGGGCAGAGGGCCGAGTGCCGTGCTCCAGACAGGGTGGCTCTGAGGCCCACAGAGCCCGGGGACACAAGCTGGTTCCGTGAGGCAAGATGGGCCTAGCTCCGACAAGAACAGATAGAAGGGAGGGGGCGAGATTCGAATGCGAAAAAGAACTCAGAGGCTCCCACGGCTCCCTGGAGAAGCCATGAATGGCAGGCACAGAGTTGACAGGGAATAGCATGAATGAAAAGACATTTCAACATGAGACAAGGGTGGACCTGGGTTACGGGCAGCGGGGATTAGAGGAAAGGTTCATCTAAGGTTTAAACCTGAGCTGCCAAGAACAGTGGCAGCAGGGGTGAGAGCTGGCAGTTGGTGGGGTCAGGTGTCATTGACTGAGGCCGGATAATGGGGCCTGCATTTGGTGAGCAGTGAAGATGGCGAGTTCCACAGGGAGTCACCGGCAGAAGAATGAGGTGAGGCCACCAGGTGAAAGAAGGTTCCAGAATTGGATCTGAGGAGGAAGGTGTGTGGGAGAAGGAGGCAGGGAGAATTCAGTGGGGCTGGACAGAAGGGGTGTGTCTGGAAGGAGGGGCCTGATGGTGCTCAAGCAGTGGAGCAGGAAAAAACAAAAAAATAGAAAAAACCAGCACTAAGCCCAGCCTTGTAAATCCTCTGCTCCTCTGTGAGCTCAGTGCAGGCCCAAGGCGCCCGTCCCACTTTCCTGCCCTGCTGGCCTGGGCTACAGACACGACCAGGTGGGGCATCAGTTGCTGCTCCCCGGGGACCACCGGGCGGGCTCGGCTCCATGGCCCCTGCGTGTTCACTTTGTTTTTGTGCCTCACTTTGTGCAGAATCCAGCATGAGCTATGAGTGGAATATCATCAGCACTCAAAGTTCTACAAATGTGCACTCACTCGCAGAAGGAACTACAGATACGGTGAAGACAGACAATTATTCTCTCTAGAAGTACATTCTCTAAAGAGACTAATGACCTCCCTACCACCTGAGATGCTGACAGGTGAGTCCACTGCATTCCTCTCCCAGCTGTGGCTCATGGGCCACTTCCACAGATTCCCGGCTAGAACCCTTCTAGAAGCCCAAGTTTCCACTCAGCTAACTGCAGGACCTTCCACCTGGAGGACAGAGATTATGGACTCACATCTCTCCACTGCCTGAGTGCGCTTCTGTTTTCCTCTTTATTTTTCCTACTGGGGCCTGCTGGGGCGTTTTGAAGTCTGGCATGTAACTTAGCAACAACCTGGCAAGAAGCTGGAAAGTAACTGAAAATCATTTTCAGCATTGTTTTCCAACAAAATCCCCCTGAACCACAATCTTACTTATTAGTCTCTTGCTCATTATAGGACAGCATCTCTCTGTGATCAATTTGTCCAGTCTTGAAGTCGAAGATGGTCACTGTGTCCATTTCAACATCGTAGAAGCAGATTTTGGAGCTGGGGCTGTTGTCGGCCTAGGAGAAGAGAAAACCAGAAAGCTCATGGTGCCTACCTGGACCGGCGGGTTTGTGAGCTGTGCTAGGTGGCTGACAGAGCTCACATCAAGAAAAACACACCCGGTGTCCCTAAGTCTCTAGGCCGCTCGGCTTCCAAGAACTAGCATACTTTCAGCATTGACAATTTGTTGGTTTTGGTGTTTTTTTGAGCCAGGGTCTTGCTCTGTTGCTCAGGATGGAGTGGTATGATCTTGGCTCACTGTAGCCTCCGCCTCCTGGGCTCAGGTGATCCTCCCACCTCAGTCTCCTGAGTATAGGGATTACAGGCACATGCCATCATGCTCCACTAATTTTTTAATTTGTTTTTTGGTAGAGACAAGGTTTTACCATGTTGTCCAGGCTGGTCTTCAACTTCTGGACTCACACAATCTGCCCACCTCAGCCTCCCAAAGGATCATAGGCATGAGCCACTGTGCCCAGCCCAGCAATCACGATTTGAACATTAACTTCCTTTTGTCCCACTGAAACAGGTTTTGAATCATGACTTTATACTTTCAGAGAACTGAAAACAAATTCTAAGAAATTATGTCCAGCTGCTCTCAATAGTAACCTGAAGTAGGTTAACCAAGGGATCCAGAAGGAATCTGGATTCTGATAAACTGATTTTCACACAGGTGAGTAAAAATGAATTTCCTTTTCTTTATTTGAGACAGGGTCTCACTCTGCCACCCAGGCTGGAGTGCAGTGGCGAGATCATGGCTCACTGCAGCCTCGACTTCCTGGGCTCGAGATCCTCTCACCTCAGCCTCCCAAGTAGGTGGGAATACAGGCATGTGCCACCATGCCCAGGTAATTTTTAATTTTTTTTTTGTAGAGACGAGGTCTCGCTATGTTGCCCAGGGTGGTCTTGAACTTCTGGGCTCAAGTGATCCTCCTGCTTTGGCCTCCCTAGTAGCTGGGATTACAGGTGCAGGATAACCGTGCCCGGCAGACACTCCTTTATCACAGCTGAACTTTTGCACTGTTTCCTTTTGCCATGGTTGAGTGGGCCCCTTGCCCCAGCCCCTGCTTCCGCCCAGCCCCGTGCTCTACCCTTCGGCGCCCCAGGGCCTTGTGCTTTCCCTCTCTTTTGGGTCTCCCTGTCAGTGTTAACCCCTCGGATGCATGCTGACCTTTTCTGGAATGCGCAGTCTCTGCCCTGTGCCCCAGCTGCATTCGCTCCTTGGTCCCTGGGCTTGGCGAGGCCCTCTGGTGCCACTGGGCTGCTGCAGAGGTGAGGGGAGCCGTGCTCCTGGCTGCCTCCTTCTCCCTGTGTCACCTGCTCACCTGGCTTCCCAGGGCCCCACTGGCCGCTTTTCCTCCTTGGGGACATTCTCATGCCCGTCCCTTGAACTCTGCCTGCAGCCCTGCCCACTGGCTGCCTCCCAGGCATCTGCCCCTCTGCTGCAAACGTCTCCTCACCAGATCTGCTTTCCTGCCTGGCTGCAAGGGTTAGAAATGCCACCTGCAGCCCTGTTCTGCCCCACCCCTCAGCCAGTCCACCCAGAAGCACACTGAGGCTGCCCGAACCCTCTAGTGGCTGCCATGGAGATCAAGTAGGCAACTGCACCCACTGTCTCCTTGACCCATGTTCTAGAAACAACCCTCTAGAAAGATGATATTGACGTTATCCTCATCCCTCTGCCCCAAGGTCAAAGTCAGCTCCCACCTGCATCAGCCTCGGCCCCACCCTTCACCATGAGTGCAGACCCTGGATGAGAACAGGCTCTGCCAACGCAGGCCTCTGCACTCTGCTGTCCCCACCAGTCCTCGCCCACTCACTCTTGCCTCAACTTTGGCTGGGCCATCACCTCCTCAGCAGGCCTGGCCCAAGCTCCCCCAGTGCAACACTGCACAGCTCCACACCCTCCGCGCATGCACCTCCTTCCTAGCTCCAGGGAGCCTTCACTGCTGCCTGTGCACCCACAGGTGGCGGGCAGGGTCCATATGCTCACTCAAGCACCTCGTGTCCACAGTGCCTAGCAAAACGCCTGGCCCACGGCAGGAGACCAGTCAGTTGCATGAACGAGCAGATCAACAGGGAAACCGGCACTGGCAGAAGGGAAGGAACCAACCACCTCCAAACAGCGCTGCCATGCCCTGCTGCCCCTGCCAGTCTCCCGCACAGCCACATCACCCTGCTTCTCTGAGCAGGATGGCTCTGCTTCATGCCCAAGAAAACTGAGTAGGATGAGGAAGGCAGGCACTGAAGAGGAAGCAAGCAGCTCTCTGACGAGAAAATGACAGTTCGATGAAGGAAGACTTGGAGAAAGGCAGGAGACAGAATCTTGCAGGTGGGGGAGGAGCGGAGGCTGGGAGAGGACCACACGGGGGAGGTCCCCGGAAAGGTGGGAGGGAGAGACCCGGGAGAGGAGGTGCAGGAGGGTGAGGCTGACCAGAGCACGGGACAGGAAGACCCTTGCAAGAGGAGAGAGGCATGAGGAGGCAAAAGGCCTGGCCTGGGAGGACGGCGGAGTGGACCACTGGACAAGGGGCGGCCTCACCTTGCTGGGGAGGATGCTGATAGTGCTCCCGCTGCTGCTGCACCGCACAGAACTGATGCCCCCCACCCCGGGGACCAGCTCCGCCAGGCTCCTGCAGCTGCAGTGTGCTTTCGCCTCCCTGTGGGAAGGAAGAAGGACCTCAGTGTCCAGCAGAGGCCCAGTTTCCGATTCTCCGCCTGCTCTGAAACCTCTGTTCACCAGATGAGGGCTGCGCGGCTCCTCAGCCGCTTCTTACCCTTGGTGGCACGTGTGCACCATGAGGTGGGCCAAATGCAGAACACAAGGTGAGTTCCGCCCCCTCGGGTATTCTTTTTTTTTTTTTTTTTTTTGAGATGGAGTTTTTTTGAGGCTACCCAGGCTGGAGTGCAATGCCGCGATCTCGGCTCACCGCAACCTCCGCCTCC